TCTCCCGAGGCCACAGGAGGGCGCAATGAGCAAAATAATGCAGCACATTAAATTGCAATGCAAGGAAATAACCGTCTATAAAAAAACGTGCATTACGTCTAAATTAACTCATATAAGTCAAATATAATTTCGTAAATTGCATACACAATTATGAACAAAACAGCATCACGTATTTATGCATTGCTAATTAATACAAAGAGCCGAATTGCCCATCACACAGATTGCCTTTAAAAACATATTAGACGCAGTGAAAAGGAATAAACCTCCACAAATTCGTGATTTCTAAAAGTTTAAACTGTTTTAACTTTGCATGGCTTTCTATACATCGCTTCTGTGAGACGCAAGTGCAGCAGTCATATTTGTCCGTCTAAAAAATGCGCTGAATGTGCGTTCTGTGTGAATGGCTTGGTTTCGGTTTTCTCATTCAAGATCTTCTCCGCATTGAGCTTCTATATTTCTCTAATATTTTGAATGAATAACGCAGCAACTGCGCGTCTCGTGGGCTTCTACATCATCATCACCGCATCTCCTGCTCCACTGATGACGCTCCCTGATGCACATTTCATCATCATCATCATCATCATCAAACTTTATTAAGGACACACTCGGTCCAAACAAAGACACAACAATAACAACATACAAAAACACACACAAGGACAAAAACCACAATATCACATATTTACATGTGTACTAAAACGCCAATGATTCCACATATTTGAAAAAAGCCTGACTGAACTTAGTGCCAAGTTCGTCAGTGTTAAAATTATACTGTTTACAGATTCTGATAACCTACACATACATCTGTACATGAGATTACGCAACACAGCAGCGCAGGTTGGCACACCAGCACTGACAAACATTTGGCTTGCGCTGCTCCATCTTGGCACCTTAAGCAGCAATCGCATACCATCATTATAAGCTACATTAAGTCTCTGCATGCTGCTCTTTCTGTAATGCCGCCACAAATGGCCAGTATACATAGGGGTATGGTATGCTTTAAAAAGTGTAGTCTTCACAGATCCTGAGCACATGCCAAATTTGCGAATCAACATATTGGCCTGGGCATACAGCGTACAGCACTGTCTGTAAATATCCCTATCATCAGACATGTCATCAGTTATATAATGCCGTAAGTATTTAACCTCATTACATACCTTAAGGACACTCCCAGACAGAGAGAAGTCGGGAAATGTCAGTTTTCTGTCCCCCCTACTCCTAACAATCATAATATTACTCTTTTTGGCATTATATTTAATATCAAAATCTGAACCATATCGAGAACAAATCCACAGTAACTGTATTTACCATAGATTGTACTATTTATCCATTCAAATGCAAATGTTTATTTTAAATTCGACTAATATTCTTTTTTTT